TATTATTATTATTATTATTATTATTATTATTATTATTATTATTATTAAAAAGTAATAAAGATAAATTTATTATTTCGAAATTATTTATTCGTAATTCCTAATAGAATAACTTCAAAAGTAAATAGCTCTTGAACGAAACGTTTGCGAGGATATTTCTAGAGGAATCTTTTTCTATTTTGGTATCTTGAATTCATTTTTTAAGTTTGCATTTAATGAATTTTTTCTGATCTTGAATTTAAGTCGTCATGAATTTATCATCTTGGCGAAAATGAGTTCAAACAACCATAGGTGGACGATTATTAACTCTCTGCACTCGGATCTCCCCTCTGAGACGACATCGCAAGTTTGGCAAACTCAGTCAGTAATTGTATGCATATACAGGATTAATTTGGGCGAGTACAAAGTTTACAAAATAGCTCGTTTCTTTGGAGTTTTTCATTCAAATAACCTAGAAAAACAAATCAAAATATGGTAGAAATTAATTCTGTGCCTCCGTATTCAATAATTTGTAAGTCTATAACCACATTAATACTGAATAAAACAAAATCACTTTCCGTTTGTTCGAACCACCAGAGCGGTCGCAATCGCGTTAACATTCTGAGCCAGTTCCACCTGACGTGACATCATGTAAAATATTACACATAGACTATTAGACTGTGTACTAAAAAATGAAGCCTCTATCGTTTAACAAACTGGAGAGATGATAAGTTGCATAGATTTCATTTATTGTTAAAAATTTAGGCATTTTCCCTGAAAATTGGAACTTACGAGTTTGACCACCTATCATTCATAAAAAAAAAATTCCTTTTGAATTTATTTTTCGTTAGATGACGACGATGTCCTCATAGAATAAACGCCGGTTGAATTTTTTACTTCAGTTTATTTGGATGGTAGAAATCATATTATCCAGTGACCAATGTTTAATTGTGTCACGATCAATTAAAAGCAACCATAGTCAATGGGCTGTAACATTTATATTATTGGGTAAATGTTTCCATAAAAATGTATACGTTATGCTGAATTAGTAATAAAAGCGTGTGTAAAATTTCAAGTAAAAATCTTGCATACTTTCTTCAATAAAAATTGAAGAAAGCAAAAGTCCAAAAAAGCAATTCCTAGTGTTCAATGTTTATTTTGTAGTCAATGGGCTGTAACATTTATATTATTAAGTGAATCATTCCATAAAAATGTTTACGTTATACTGAAATAGTAATAAAAGCATGTGTAAATTTCAAATAAAAATCTTGCCTACTTCCTTCGGTAAAAAATGGAGAAGAAACCAGAAAAAAGTCAATTCTCTTGTTAACTGTACCAAACATGACGCGGACATCTTCGTTAGTTTCTTAGAAAATAGCTCGTAACACTTTGCACGGGACACCGTGTATATTTTGCTATTTCGGTCGATTCCCTTCCAATGACTGTGCATTTGGCAAACTGGTTTTTCGTGTACATATTTTGAGCAGCGACGTTAATTGATCTCTCGTCACGGAGACGCACATAAGCGTCTTCTATGTCCAGCAAATTACCCAGCGAATCTCGATTGCCTTGGTAGATCAACTGGAAAGTTGTGAAGGATTTAGAACAGCTAAACTCGTCTATGAACGAAAGGGGATAATCATTTTGCTGTAATGGTCATTACTATGCCGTAGATTAAAACGATTCTTGGTTCTTGTTGTAGGTGGTCCAGAACGGACTAGAAATTCTCACTTTCCTCGCCGATCGAATGGGTCACGATTTCAAGCACTATATCTCAACTATTATCCAACCAACGATAGATCGACTGGGTAGGTATAATAGCTCTTCCATCTACTTATGTGTAAGTGTATCTTGCAGTATTCATGCATTATTTACGATAACTAAATTATTCTTGGATCTCTCCAAATCTAAATATGCACATATGCTTATTTTTATCTTTTACTATGATTCTTTAACGTATATATTAATATTTTCCTCCCTTTATTAATGATTTTATATTAAAAAGCAACAGTTTTAATTATTAGTTAAGGAAGCTATCCTGCAATGTTGTCAACCTTTGAAACCTACCACAATCGGTTAAATGACTGTTTTGAAATATGTTACAATGCATTAGAATATGACAAACAGAATTTGGGACTTCGCATGATCCACACAGATGATGTAGTTCCCTATTTAACAGGTGTTGGTGCGTAACACTTCTTTGTCCCATTCTTAATCGCGATAATACTGATTATTCCTTACGATTGAGGTAATTGGAATGTGATGCTTGAGATAAAGAAGAGTCCATTAGTAAGTTTAATTTGGAATTCTGTTCATTCCACTGTTGCTCTCAGTGTTTATTTACTTCTCTAGAAAAGAAAGGAAAACTTCTGCATACAGTTCTTCTATGCAATACATGAATTATATACAATTGTTTCATACATTATTCAATTTAGTTCCACATAAAATATTCTTGCATTTAATTGAAAAGAGTGCTTTTAAGAGTGCTTTTAGTCATTTGTCCCATCACATTAGAAATAATTACAACTTACAAATGAAGATTTAGATGGTAGATTTAGTGTTAAGCTCTAACTTGTTCCTTTGAAAACTATCTGTTTGTGGAATTATTTGCACGCACCAATATAAATGTAATTGTATATGAGAGTAGAAGTCCATTCATTATACTACTCCACTAACTATAGCACCACCTACATTCTTAGACGTTTCAAACTTTTGCGTGGGAATAAAGTGTGCCTGCATGAAAATGATTAAAAATATAATTCACAATAGCTCTTATGTTTTCTTTCAAAATTATGTACTAATTAATTTATGAAGCATTGTAATTTCTTTTTCATCGATACATACATGTTTAAAGGGTGGGAGTGATATGGGAATTTATTGATGCCAGAACCATGCAGGATTTCCTAACCTCAAAATGAAATTAACTTTAAAATTCGGACGAGGACTCAGTTTTTTTTTTGAACCACTACATTTGCCATAGTTGGCTGGGTCACTTAAGAAGTTTGTCACAACACTGCGAGACTTTCCTAGTCTACTGGGAATTCCTCAAATGTTAACACTTACCACTTGATATGCTGAAATTGCAGTTTTCCCTGCAGCATTAAAAGAAATGCAACACATGCCATTTTTTAATGTATAATATAATGTTTAATTTTATGAAAAAAAGGAATCACTGTTCACCCACACCTATCGCAACTCCAAAGCTAACGAAACTTGCTTATTTATATTGGTGCTATAGTTATGCAGCAATCGAAAATCAGTATTTTGATTATTTCATGTTGGATATAAGAGCAATTTCCAGAAAGATTAATGTAAACTCATTATTTATCATATCCTTTCAGCTCGTACAATTGATGTTTCTTTATTCCCACGCAAAAGTTTGAAACGTCTAAGAATGTAGGCGGTGCTATAGTTATTGGAGTAGTATAATGAATGGACTTCTACTCTCATATACAATTACATTTATATTGGTGCGTGCAAATAATTCCACAAACAGATAGTTTTCAAAGGAACAAGTTAGAGCTTAACACTAAATCTACCATCTAAATCTTCATTTGTAAGTTGTAATTATTTCTAATGTGATGGGACAAATGACTAAAAGCACTCTTAAAAGCACTCTTTTCAATTAAATGCAAGAATATTTTATGTGGAACTAAATTGAATAATGCATGAAACAATTGTATATAATTCATGTATTGCATAGAAGAACTGTATGCAGAAGTTTTCCTTTCTTTTCTAGAGAAGTAAATAAACACTGAGAGCAACAGTGGAATGAACAGAATTCCAAATTAAACTTACTAATGGACTCTTCTTTATCTCAAGCATCACATTCCAATCACCTCAATCGTAAGGAATAATCAGTATTATCGCGATTAAGAATGGGACAAAGAAGTATTACGCACCAACACCTGTTAAATAGGGAACTACATCATCTGTGTGGATCATGCGAAGTCCCAAATTCTGTTTGTCATATTCTAATGCATTGTAACATATTTCAAAACGAAAAGAACAAATTAAATTTCAGTGATAATTTTAAGACTAATCTGAACAAAGTAGCAGACTGCAAAAAAGTTATCCAGTTTCTTAAAAAGATCAACTTACTTGACCAAATTTAACACACTCAACAATGTACACTATAATAATTGAACCAAAATTTGTAATATGTAATTTATAATTGATTGCACTCGCTAATAACCTTGGTTGTAGATGCGATTTTAAATAAATGTATATGTCGCAGGGAGATGATAATAATGGAGATTTGATCAAATCCCTAAGGTAGATGATCAATCTACGGAAGATGTTAAAATAACTCTGTGAGGTGATTTCCCTCAAGAAAGTAAGTGATTTCATCAAATCCCTTAACTGGTTTAATGAAAAGATGAAATAATATTGTTTAGATACTCAAAGTATTTATTTAGTAAATCATGCATTATTAAATGTAGATAGGTAATACAACAATATAAACACAAATTAGTTATTCGAAACTAATTAGCAAAAGAAATAGAGCCCATTCATGTGACATTTGTAAAAATCCAGTGCACGCATAATGTGGGAATACAGTAAGTGAAGAAGGATATGGATCGAAAATTCTATGCTATTTATGGTAAAAAGAAGAGAGCATTAAAGATCAAAGAGAAAATGCTGTAAAACACCTAAAAAGATTAGCTGAAAAAATGAAAGAAGTTTCTTTGGAGAAATTTAAAGACGTGTTAGTGAATTCCACAGTTTTGGTGCATGTACCTAAGATAGATAGAGGTCCCTTAGATGGAAATAACATTGTGGGGATCGTATTAGATATAAAAAATAATTTATACCAAATTGGTACCTCAATTAGAATTGTAAAAGATTGCCTACCTATAAACGCTCTTCAAATAGCTACTACAACATTTACTGAAACAGTTCCACGGACTAACCTAAGCCTGCGTGAGATTGCAGGAAAATTATCCTTATTTGGGGGTCAAGGATTTAAGAAGTGGTCCTGTGAATAATCCAAAATACAATGTAAAACAAGAAGATGTGTCTGTAAAAAAAGTAACGTACTTTCTAACTCGAAATCCCACAAATCAACAACGTGGTTTAAGAAAAATGAATGAACATTATTATTTATTAATTACATTCACTAAAAGTGTTCACTAAAAATATCTTTTTTGTTTTTAAAAATATCAGCTTAAGTACCTATTTTTTTTGCTAATTAGTTTCCAATAAATAATTTTTGTTTCTATGACTATTATTGTATTACCTACTCTACATTTAATAATGCATGATTTACTAAATAGATACTTTTAATATCTAAACAATATTATTTCATCTTTTCGCTAAAATAGTTAAGGGATTTGATTAAATCTCCATTTTTATCATCTCCCTGCGACATATACAAAAAAAAGCTGGAATTGACGAATTTCCATAAGCGATACGTTGCGTGAATCGAGTTCGGATAATAAGAGCTCACCAAACCAAGTACTTATCGCGGCGTCGTCAATTCCGGTAAATGAAGTTCTGATATTTTTATTCGCTGAACACGATTTTTTCTAATGTCGTTTCATAACGTTTTAATCGGTTGAATATCATCGCGAAGTCCTCGAGCTCCAGATAAAATAAGCACGGAAATTGAACCGCATTTGAGACGAGATATTATGACGGTGATCTAAATATACACGGAACCGGTCTTTTGATTTTTGTTTGCATCACGTTCGTACCTTAGTAAGACGACGTATTTTCTATTTGCATGCGTTACGAGAACACTGTAATCAAATGGACCAATCTTCTCTGCGTTGCAGGTGATAGCAAAGATGCGACACGCGAAAAGGCCCAGATGGTTCTTCTAAAAATCATGGAGAAAGGATGTATGACACCTCAACAGCTCCTCGACAGACTTCGGCCAGCTTTCAGTCACAAAAACAGCAAACTACGAGAGGAAGCACTAATACTCTTAACCACCACGCTGAACGAGTAAGGAACTCCCGTTGATTGTTTCGTAGGGTCGGGATGACCCTATTAATCGTATTAATTGTTAATTAACAAATCCTTTTTTAGGCACGGCGCAGACGAGATGATGCTGTCGGGGATCATTCCAAATATCGTTAAACTGTTGTCGGATCCATCCGAAAAAGTACGAGAAACAGCTTTGAATACGCTAGCCGACATTTACAGACACGTCGGCGAAAGATTGCGTGTCGATTTGCAGAGGAAACACAATGTACCGCAGGCTAAGTAAGTGAAAATAAACAATCGAAATCAATCACGTACCTGTTAGAGAACCAGTTGTTTTTTTTTGCAGACAAAGTACTGGATACAAAGTATTGAAATTTGGTACGTTTATTTATGAGTGCAAGAGTTTTGCGAGCATTCATTTTCCCAAGAGACTTTCTTTGAGTAATTTTCAATTAAAATTAATTTCAATCAGAACTTTGTTTCAACCTCTTAACACGTTGATTGCCGCGTCAACCATATATGGGTGGCAGAGCTTTTTACTGAACAACTAAACAAATTAATTCTGAATGTTAAGAGAGTATTCTAGTCCAGAAGGATTTTTTTTTAATCTATAAGAAATTTGTATAAAGGGTTTTGCAATTTTTTGCAGGTAAAGATAATAAAAATTAAACGTAGTACAAATGATCTTGTGCAGCCTCTTCTGAAGGGTGTGTGTTCGTGGTTGCCTAAATTCCAAGCATTCAACATCTTCATTAATACTAACGTCGCTATGGTCCGAAACAGAATAATTATGAAAGACTGAAAATTCAAATAATGACAACACTTTAAAGTTTAAATATCGATTTTTTGTCCTTAGTATATTAAACA